TTGGCGTTCGGAAGGACGGTTATACCAAGTGATCGTATCTTCAGGCCTCTACACGGAAGGGCGTAACCGTATCTGGATGCCTGTAGGTCACTGTTGGCGTTCGTAAGTATAGCACATAATCATATCCTTACGCCCTACATAGCGACTCCGTTGATAAGGTTAGCATGACAGTACATCTTTTGATGTTTTGTCCTGGACAACCTCAATGTCGTTGTCGTAAGATCAGATCCGACTACACTAGGGAAAGGATTGTACTCTGTTGACTTGGCGCCAATGACCCCCGACGCAGTCTGTGGTTGCGCTTGCTATCAGTCACTGGTCAGTCTAGTCCAGATGGAATCACTTACAGCGTTATGCTGCCGGGCGTAACACAATATTCATTCACCAGCGTAAGTACTGTATGTCGTCATATTTTCATCCTTATTATTTATTTACGAAGTAGCCTGCGTTCTGCTGCTCATATGTCCCTGGACTGATGACTGGTGACTGCTAAGTAGTAAGTGAGTGAGTTGAGCTTAAAGCCTTGACACGAATATGTAAGAGGTGTGTGTGTGTGTGTGTGTGTGTAAGGGGGGGGGGGGGGGGGGGGGGGGGGGCACAAACATGGTCTGTGGTCTGGGTGAATCTGGATTCTACAAAATCGGATCCAGGCACGACTGCGGGAAGCAACTCTGCCCAACGGATTGTGGCGCATAAGACGATTGGGCCACCTATGCGATCTCTGAATGTCCTGCGGCGATGCTGTTGTCGGCAGAACCCCTTTGTCCATATGACAATTTCTCGTCTGTATGCCCTATGTCGTTATGACAAGGCCCACTCTGTATGCCCTATGTCGTTATGACAATGTCCTTCTGTATGCCCTATGTCGTTATGACAATGCCCTCTCTGTATGCCCTATGTCGTTATGACAATGTCCTTCTGTATGCCCATATTGTTACCACAATGCCCTCTCTGTATGCCCATATTGTTATGACAATGCCCTCTCTGTATGCCCTATGTCGTTATGACAATGCCCTCTCTGTATGCCCATATTGTTATGACAATGCCCTCCCGGTATCTCCTACAGCGAGGTGGTTGTCTTGAGACCCCCGAAGTCGTTATGACAATGATGCTTATAGATACACCCGCTTCCCCAACAGCGCGGGTCCAGTGCCGATGGCATACCGCAGCAAGCTTTACAAATGGACGGCAACGAGGCTTTTTAAATTTCAACAAACTCTTGCTTCAACTGTTTCACCTGCGTCTGATGTATTAACTCCGAGTAGATGGCAGCAAGTTTTCATTAAGCTCATGTATATGTGTTCTTGTATGTTACACGATGCTGACATTTATCAAACTGATCATGTTCATCAGCAACGACCTTCCACCAAGAGAGGTTTCCTCATACTGTCATAAACTTTTGTTTCTACTTGGGGACGCAATGTGTATGACTGTTCTTGTATATTCAAAGCTTAAGAATCATAGATCGTAACGGCTTAAGTCTGCTTGGTGATAAGAAGGAATTGTAACAACATCAGTTAGTGTTATTAAACAAACACGGCTAATTTTCGATTTGCCCCGAGAGGCTGAGTGAAGGTTAGAAGAATGAAAGGCTTGAGGTAGCAGATTACAGTAAACTACGGTTATAAAGAATTCAAAGGGACTACTAATTTTAGTTCGTTATAACCATAGTTCGTTGTAAGCATATATACAGTATAACTACAGCGAATAGTCGGGACCAAAAAAGTAAGTTCGTTATATCAATCAGTTCGTTATAAGCGTGTTCGTTATAACCGTAGTTTACTGTACTTCGCTCTTATTTCATCTTACACTCAATTGGGAGGTGATAGTTGAATTCGTTAAAAGGAAACTATACATTAGGTCCTACAATTTGATACAGTGAGTTATTACCATATGAACAGTGGGTTGTTACCATATGATTGTAAAGTGCCAATAGAGGCTATTACAATGTCTACTTGAGGTTCTGTCGTAGTTCGTCCAGGTGCCCCCGTCTCAACTGAACTGCGCCCTGAACTGTGTGTGCCTCATTCAAGTAATAAACGGATCAATTCTCCTCACGTTTTCACAGCATTGTTTTTCCCCTCCACACATCACATCAGCGATTATTACATGTGCTAAAATATTTCTAAATTGACACTCGCCATCTCTTTACTCGTATCTCACAATAGTTTTTTATCACGCGCTGGGATAATCTAATAGAGGTAACGAGTTTCTGCGGGATTGCTACGACACTATTTGCTACCCTTAAGCTAGAATTGATTTTAAAATGCGAAATTCACAGTCCACTGTTCCTTAATTTATCATTTCACTAGTGGAAATACGACTTTTTGTATTACAGTATGCTCGCGTTTCAGAAATTACGAATACGTTGCTGTAGTTTTTCAAACTGTCTATGTTCCTGCAAGTCACCGCTGACTCCCTGCGGTGTATACTGAGCAAGATATGCATATCATAATAGCCACTTCACATAATCAAAGTTAATATATGCCGACGCACGTGTACATGACAATGTGTCGAACATTGCAGCAGTCATTTTTCTCAAGAATGTTTAATGTACATGCATTTTCTACGTAGTGTCTTCTGAGGAGACCGCCTCCGTGGTCTAGTGGTAGAGCGTCCGCCCTGACCGCGTCATACCAAAAGACGTTAAAAGATGGTACTTGTTGTTACCCTGTCTGGCGCTCGGCATTAAGGGGCTAAAACAAGGACTGGTCGGCTCGGTGTCAGTATACTGTGTCTGAGTGGGGTATTCATGTTAAACTCCGGCATGGTATCTCAGTGAGCTAGCACTATAAATCGGCATCAGTCCGGACTAGTACAAGCAGCCACACAAACACACACACGTACATGCACGTCGCTATATAAGTGCAATAATGTTGGACGCGACGTTAAACCCCATTTCACCTCACCTTCTGAGGAAATATCCACATCAATAGAGAAACCTAGGTGACACTGGGCAATGTTGGACGTGGTAGTAGGTGACAAGGGTTGATACTTGGTCAAGACCCGTGAAGATCCGGGGTAGAACAGGTCTTCAGCAACCCAAACTTGGTCATATTGTGCGTGGATGTACATGTAGGTGATTAGAGTTGATACTTGGCAATGATGGGCGTGGTTGTATGTGATACGACTTGATACCTAGTCATACTGGGCGTGGATGTAGGTGATTAGAGTTGATACTTGGCTATGATGGGTGTGGTTGTATGTGATACGACTTGATACCTAGTCATACTGGGCGTGGATGTAGGTGAATAGAGTTGATACTTGGCAATGATGGGCGTAGATGTAGGTGATTAGAGTTGATAGTTGGCAATGATGGGCGTGGTTGTATGTGATACGACTTGATACCTAGTCAGACTGGGCGTGGATGTAGGTGATTAGAGTTGATACTTGGCTATGATGGGTGTGGTTGTATGTGATACGACTTGATACCTAGTCATACTGGGCGTAGATGTAGGTGATTAGAGTTGATACTTGGCAATGATGGGCGTGGATGTAGGTGATTAGAGTTGATACTTGGCTATGATGGGCGTGGTTGTATGTGATACGACTTGATACCTAGTCAGACTGGGCGTGGATGTAGGTGATTAGAGTTGATACTTGGCTATGATGGGCGTGGTTGTATGTGATACGACTTGATACCTAGTCAGACTGGGCGTGGATGTAGGTGATTAGAGTTGATACTTGGCTATGATGGGCGTGGTTGTATGTGATACGACTTGATACCTAGTCAGACTGGGCGTGGATGTAGGTGATTAGAGTAGATACTTGGCTATGATGGGCGTGGGTGTATAGATTTTAAGATTGATAGGCGTGGCTGTGTGTTATAATGGCCCGCACTTGTTTGTGTCAGCTTGCTTGCAGTACTGGTACTGTACTGGTGATAAGTAGTACTGGTGATAAGTAGTACTGGTGATAAGTTGAGTTATGACCTGACAATTAACCCCGTGTGATTATGTATGAGGTCCGCCCACTGGTGCGTACCATTGTAGAGAAAGAGGTAGTGGGTGGACCGCGACAGGTGGTACGATAGATATGTTCGTGTCCTCTCTCGGCTGACAACGGGTTCTAATGGCGAGTACAATAGCACATAACAGTACGTATTGGTGTGAGGTAACCGGTGACTTTCAAAACGGGGACAGCAAATTTGCATAGAAAAAAACAATTGAGAAGTTTCGTTACAATGAAGGGAATTCATGTGCTGTGAAAATGGAATATTTGTTTTTACCCAAGAGAGCAATAATTCTTGGATCGACTTGTCACACCGACCTCGTAATAGTCTTATCAGCACGGGATCGGTTGGTCAGGCTCGCTTACTTGGTTGATGAAAGTCATCGTATCCCAATTGCGGAGATCGCTGCTCATGATATAAATCACTGGATTGTCTGGTTCAGACTCGATTATGTACAGACCGCCGTCATATAGCTGGAATATTGCTGAGTGCGGCGTAAATCAACAAACAGAGCAACAAACAAACAAATCTGATTAGCAAAACGGTAGCGTTGTCAATTTCATCGTCATGACCTGCACGTGCATAACATGCATACACCCTCTCAACCAACCTGCAACCTGCAACAAACCAAATATATTTCCCCAAACGCTGTGGACCGCCTACTTGTCTCAAACGAGTTTTGTGAGTAGATTCAACTGATCCTGGATTATCCGTAGGTGTATTTATGCATGGTAAACAATAACGGGTGTGCTTGTAAAGGGCGGACACTTGATGAATGTGTCCGGAGTGACGGGGGCGGGGGATGCTGGGCGTGGCTGTTGGTGCAAGTACCTGGCACGTTACCCTGTATCACCATGACACGGTCATGTTTGTGACCACAAGTCACAGTCAAATGTATAACCGTAACTGATAACTATATACTCAACAATCAACATAACATACATTCAACTATCAAATCATTTGACAAGTCACACACTTTACCTGTCAGTTGAGTTACAAATAACCAGAAATCGGAAGTGATTAAATTCCCGATAATCTTTATACTTTAATGCCGTGCAATAACTTAGCAGGGGCAAGAGTAGCAGCAGTAACAATAGTAGCAGTAGCAGTCATAGCAACAGTAGCAGCCATAGCGACAGTAGCAGTTGGAGCAGCAGGAGCACTAGTAGCCATAGCAACAGTAGCAGCCACAGCAACAGTTGCAGTCGTAGCAGCAGTAACAGTCGTAGCAACAGTAGCAGTCGTAGCAACAGCAACAGTTGTAGCAGCAGCAGCAGTCGTAGCAGAAGTAGCAGTCGTTAGAGCAGTAGCAGCAGGGGCAGATGTAGCAGCAGTAGTAACAGAAGCAGTCGTTGCATCAGTAGCAGTCGTGGCAACAGTAGCAGTCGTAGCAACAGTAGCAGACGTAGCAACAGTAGCCGTCGTAGCAGCAGTAGCAGACGTAGCAACAGTAGCCGTCGTAGCAGCAGTAGCAGACGTAGCAACAGTAGCAGACGTAGCAACAGTAGCCGTCGTAGCAACGGTAGCAGACGTAGCGACAGTAGCAGACGTAGCAACAGTAGCCGTCGTAACAACAGTAGCCGTCGTAGAAGCAGTAGCAGACGTAGCAACAGTAGCAGACGTAGCAACAGTAGCCGTCGTAGCAACACTACGAGACGTAGCAACAGTAGCAGACGTAGCAACAGTAGCAGACGTAGCAGCAGTTACAGTCGTAGCAACAACAACAGTTGTAGCAGCAGCAGCAGTAGCAGTCGTAGCAGAAGTAGCAGTCGTCAGAGCAGTAGCAGCAGGGGCAGATGTAGCAGCAGTAGCAACAGAAGCAGTCGTTGCATCAGTAGCAGTCGTGGCAACAGTAGCAGACGTAGCAACAGTAGCAGACGTAGCAACAGTAGCCGTCGTAGAAGCAGTAGCAGACGTAGCAACAGTAGTAGACGTAGCAACAGTAGCCGTCGTAGCAACAGTAGCAGACGTAACAACAGTAGCAGACGTAACAACAGTAGCAGACGTAGCAACAGTAGTAGACGTAGCAACAGTAGCCGTCGTAGCAACAGTAGCAGACGTAACAACAGTAGCAGACGTAACAACAGTAGCAGACGTAGCAACAGTAGCCGTCGTAGCAACAGTAGCAGACGTAACAACAGTAGCAGCTGTAGCAACAGTAGCAGCAGTAGCAGCAGTATCAGTAGCTGGAGGACGCACTAGGATCCCGCCAGGTTACTTATATCGTCAGCATTCCCCCTTCATTGTGTTTGACACATTGGAAACACCGTCACGAGATGGCGGACATGTTGCCGTCAGCTTCCGTTAGCATTTTGACAGTAATCTGATATCGGCTTCAGTTTTTTTCGAACCTTGCGGAAATGTTTCCAGTGTTTAATCAAATTTTCAAAAGAAGTTTAAAAAACAGTATTTCCTCCTGAAGGCCGCGGGCGTTGGTACTGTGCACAGCTTGTGTTGTGCTTGGGATATTTAACGATACATTCTTTCCGTACTTGGGTCACGTGATCTATGAATGACGTCATATTTCACGGCCCGGTTCAACTGGTGGTGTTGTTGGTAGACGTCTTAACTGGCACAAGTCTCCAAGGCAATAATCATTAGTTTAAATCATTTCTAGATTTAGTAAATAATAAGAACAAGTTGTCCCTGTAAGAGATGAAGTCCTGTACTGTCCACATATCGAGAACTGCCTATCAGGAGGATAGCATGAGACACATCATGGACTATTCTTTCAGTACAGCTCGAGCATGGACGTCCCACAATGCTTTAGTCCAGACTAGATGCAGCGGAGACACAGAGGGACACGGCTGTTGATGTCTTATATAAAATCATCATAAAAACATTGAAATAGTCAAATGAGTCGAAAAGCGCACACAATTACCCTTACCTCGCTGAGGCAATAGTAGGATTTTCGAATAATTCAGTTTAACGTACTATATGACACTCCACCCGTGAAGATCCGGGGTAGAATATGTCTTCAGCAACCAATGCTTGCCGTAACAGGCGACTATGCTTGTCGTAAGAGGCGACAAACGGGATCGGGTGGTCGGGCTCGCTGACTTGTCATCGTATCCCAGTTTCGTGAATCGATGCTCATCATGTCAATCATCGGATTGTCTGGTCCAGACTCGATTATTTACAGGCCGCCGTCATATAGCTGGAATATTGCCGAATGCGGCTTTAAACAAACAAACAAACAGAGACATTTAATTAGTCCGGACGACGTAAATCTGGGACCCTCATATTTCTGGCGCTTATTTTGGCAACGCAGTGTCGAATTAAAGGGACATTATCCTAAACCATAACTAATACGGAAATTGATTATTCGTACGATGTCACTGGAAACGACACCGTCCGGATGAACGGGTTTCCTTGTATCTATAAAAACATGGTGACAATTTGTGCTGTGGTCCAGAAAAATTCTTCCAACGGGATATTTGCTATATCTACGGCTCATCTTGTGTCAGAAATATATGTCGACATTCCGCGTTATCATAATCCAAGGGAAGGTTAAATTGCAGTTAAAGCGATACCTGGTCAAAGTGATGAGCTGGATTCGAATCTCCATACTGGTGACATGTGTTTTACCCACTCTGTGGTACCCATCGCCTTAATCATTCTGGAATTAAAACTCAAACCCACCCACCCACTCACTAACTCACTCTCTCAAACCCACTCACTCATTCACTCTCTCAAACCCACTCTGTGGTACCCGTCGCCTTAATCATTCTGGAATAAAAACTCAAACCCACTCACTCACCCACTCACTCACTCACTCAAACCCACTCACTCAAACCCACTCACTCACTCACTCTCTCAAACCCACTCACTCACTCTCTCACTCATTCACTTACTCACTTACTCAGTCAAACCCACTCAACCACCTACCCACTCACTCACTCACTCTCTCGGTTTCACACAAAAAGGCAGGGCTTCAAACAGACATAGTCTGGAACGCATTCATTTGCATTATGACAACATCGAGGAAACACACGAGAGTCTGCACTCACGCAGTGCCTTCGTTAAGTTTTAAGCAAGTGCAGCTTGGAAGACTGAAGCCAAGGTTTTAAAAACATCCATTTGAGAAAAAAAGTAGTTGGCAAATATCAGTGTTGATAAAAGTTCTAATAACAATCAACTTATTTGCAAGAAAATAATTTAATCTGCTTCACAGGTTAAACTCCTATAAAGTAATATTATGAAACAGGGTAGTCTTGTTCTGCCGGCATGACAGACGTATGTACTTCCTTACAGACATAAAGTCTGTTGTGCGCGACCTGTGTCAGATCCCATTGGTACGGATACTGTGAGGAGAATTTTACGGGCGCTTTAAGAGATTGCGACGACTGTAGGTGGCGTGGTTCTTCTTGAGGACAGATTCAGACCTTCGTGAAACACCCATTTGCTGTGGACATAGAGACCACTGATAGATTGAGGTCTCCAGTCGGGGTCTATAATCGTGATGCACCCATTTGCCGTGGACATACAGACTACTGACAGATGGGGGTCTCCAGTCGGGGTCTACAATCGTGATGCACCCATTTGCTGTGGACATACAGACTACTGATAGATGGAGGTATACAGTCGGGGTCAATAATCCTAGCACCCATTTGCTGTGGACATACAGACTACTGATAGATGGAGGTATACAGTCGGGGTCAATAATCCTAGCACCAATCTGCTGTGGACATACAGACTACTGAAAGATGGAGGTATACAGTCGGGGTCAATAATCCTAGCACCCATTTGCCGTGGACATACAGACCACTGATAGATGGAGGTATACAGTCAAGGTCTATAATCGTGATGCACCCATTTGCTGTGGACATACAGACTACTGATAGATTGAGGTCTCCAGTCAGGGTCTATAATCGTGATGCACCCATTTGCCGTGGACATACAGACCACTGATAGATGGAGGTATGCAGTCGGGGTCTATAATCGTGATACACCCATTTGCCGTGGACATACAGACCACTGATAGATGGAGGTCTCCAGTCGGGGTCTATAATCGTGATACACCCATTTGCCGTGGACATACAGACTACTGATAGATGGAGGTATACAGTCGGGGTCTATAATCGTGATGCACCCATTTGCCGTGGACATACAGACCACTGATAGATGGAGGTCTCAAGTCGGGTCAATAATCGTGATGCACCCGACCACAAGCGACTTACAATTTGATTTCTTGAAAAAAAAGCATCGAGAAAATCAAACCAGTTAGGATATTGGAAAGCTATCGATCAAGATTTACTTGCTTATCGCGACTGTTGCCTTAGTGAGCATGTGTTTGGACTACTTCGAGAACTGTTCCTGGGTGATCACTCCAACTGAATATTTCATGTGCAAATCATGCGAAAACTCCGTGCAAATATACCTGGCTTTAGATTGTGAGCCCAAAACATCCGACATGAAGACAATCATAATCTCCAGGTGAAACGTTGTGTCAGTCACGGTAATGTGTTTGTGCTTTGATGGTGACCTTGACCTTGACCTCAGTAGAAACATACAGGAAACGAGTGGACGATGCAAGCGACTGACTGAAGGATGAGTGAGTGAGGTGGGTTTAACGCCGCGTTGAACAGTAGTCCAGTTATATCACGGCCTGTCAGCTTAATGTGGGAGGAAAGCCCGATGTGATGCAGGTCTCAGACGTTTACCGCTTTGGTCAAAACTCACGAGCACGGGTATGGTGCTGACAAACCTAGAAACATTCGGGACGAACCGAGATTCGAACCCACAGTCATAGCTTTCTGGGGTGCTTAAGGGACGCAACTCTGCACATCGAAATGCGGCGCATTTTAGGCTATTACTAATGCAGCGGTGCTCCCTTATTTCCTGAAAGATATCTTCACAATGCGTCAGTAGCTTGGTAAAAAGATTATTCTAATTGAAGCTTTCATGCAACTGGTGACAGATAAGATTCGCTAAGTTTTCCAGGCCACAAGGGCGGTCGGGTAGCCTAGTGGTTAAAGCGTTCGCTCGTCACGCCGAAGACCCGGGTTCGATTCCCGACATGGGTACAATGTGTGAAGCCCATTTTTGGTGTCCCCCGCCGTGATATTGGTGGAATATTGCTAAAAGCGGCGTAAAACCATACTCACTCACTCACTCCAGGCCACAACATTTGTCATCCATGCTCCGCATTCACGTCACAGCACCATTCGCATCCGGTTCCATCTGGAACGGGTGACGCATTCAACGCCGGACTTTTCGGACCTTTCACGAACACCCCCATAATGTATTTGAAGGCATTTCTGTTCGTTTCACTGGCCCGAGATATTGGCAAGCGAGGCAAACGTTGATTCTCTATTAATATGTGATTTCCATCATGTCACAATCAATCGATACTGGGCCACCCGTGGCCAATTACCACCAGTTGAAGATTTATAAAGATGAGGATGCTGAGCCTTTCTGCTGTTCTGTTTGACTCACAATGGCTGGCACACTTTATTAATGCGCATGCGTCGCAACAAAGTTAGCAATACTAATGTTTGGGCATATAGCGACGATCATGCTCTGTTGGATTTGGTCTCTTTAACGAAGGAAAACAGTTGATAATTACATTTGAATACAAATACCATACGAGTTTCCGTTAGTATCGCTGTCTGGCTGCTGGTGTGGCGTCAAGCAACTCTCGCTCAAAATCAGTTGACGAAACGCGGTTAGATATAATAAAATATGTACCCGTATGGTAAAAGTGTTACTTGAAAAGGACTGGTGTATTGTTTTCTCTGTGTATCGCACAAGATGACCAGTGTATTGATACATCTGTTGAAATGCCATGTCTTCAAAAGAACAGCCAGCCTGGTTCCCTGGGTATGCTGCGCTGGCGCTACACTCAGTGTAGCGCCAGCGCAGCATACCCAGGGAACCAGGCTGCAGAACAGCCTACACCCAAGCTCCATTACAACGTGTGCCACCCTTCGTTTCCAATCCTCAAACGAGTGCTGTGATGAGTTAATGGCACCTGAAACATGACCGGTTCCATACGCATCTGACAGACCCGTGGACATGGAACAATTATACAATACGCATGTCGAGCTACGATCATTATCATAATAACTTTCATGGAGGAATTCTAATATTTACAGGGGGCACGGGTGGCCCAGTCGTCTGAGGCACCGCGATTCGCTGTGCAGAGTTGCGTCCCTTGGGCACGCAAGAAACCTAGGATTGTGGGTTCGAATCCCGGTTCGCCCCAATTATATTTCTAGGTTTGTCAGCACCATGCCCGTGCTCGTGGGTTCACCGAAGTGGTAAACGTCTGAGACCTGCATCACTTCGGGCTTTCCTCCCACATTA